AACATTCAAAAGACTATCTCACAGACCCTGAAAGCCACCTCAGACATAATTTAAGAACAGTAGCATGGTTAGAATAAGTGTCAGAATGACTATTTTGAAGGAAGCCCTCATCTGTAGGTATGAATTGGCATTTATTAAAAAAAAAAAATCAATCCACTGACTTTAGAATCAGGTTTCAAACATAGCTTCCCTGTGGCTAGCAGGACTTTCATTTGACAGTGAATTTTTTATACATTTTTTTGTTTGTCAGAAATTCAGTCTCATTACCTTATCACCAGTACTCTTTAGGACTTTGAATACAGAGAGAAATCTGGAGTCTTCCTCTGGACACAATACTCGTGTTTTGAAATCAAGTTAAATATCAAAACATAGCCTGAGAAGGAGAAAAGGAAGTTTAAATCTACTTTCAGTCTCAGATTTGGGGAGAAAACAGCCCTACACTTTGTGTTGGTTTCATGAGAAGGGGATGGAAATGTGTATGTGGCAGTTGTTTTGACCCAATCTGGACTTACCGTTTCACGCTCTTCTGTCTCCCCTTAATCCTTGCATGAATAGTTACCACTGCATTCTGAGGTTCATCCATACACTCTTAGAATTATGCTCATATTTTATGTACCCTACAGAAGTAGGATGGTGGATCTGGGCACAAAAGCTGTGAAAAATCTGTATTAGTTTGCTAAGGCTGCCATAACAGAATACCACAGACTGGGAGGCTTAAACAACAGAAATCTATTTTCTCACAGTTCTGGAGGCTAGAAGTCCAAGATCAAGGTGTTGGGAGGCTCAGTTTCTTTTGAGGCCTCTCTCCTTGGCTTGCAGACAGCCACCTTCCTACTATGTCCTGACATAGTCTTTCCTCTATGCATGCATCCCTGGCGTCTCCTTAGGTGCCTGAATATCCTCTTTTTACAAGGACACCAGTCAGATTGGATTAAGGCCTACCCTAATTGCCTCATTTTAATTCAGTCACCTCTTAGGAGTGATAGTTAAGATAGAGAGCAGTTAAAGTAGGATCTCATTGTCATGTGCTGCCAGAAAACATTTTTAATGAAACTCCTGTGAAGTCATTCATTCATTCATTTTGTATTTGTTGAGCATCTATTCAGTTTTAGGCAACAGGGGAGAAAAGAAGACTGCCTTCAGAAAGTTAACAGTCTACAGGGCATACAGTGTTAGAATAAGAGCAGTCTTTAGAAGCAGATTGTGTCTTATTAACTTTTATGTCCCAAGCACCTTGCATATAGTAGATATTGATCTGAAATGAGTCCCTCTGCAGAATTTCTAAATTTGGTCTAAAAAAGGCTCAATGGTGTTCTATTAATAGTTAGTTTGTAGTTAGGTAGATCACTAGAGAAGCAGGCTAATGCACTGAACACGATACCAAGGAAGATTTCCACGTCTCTCCAGAGCCTTGCCACTTCCTCAAAGTATGGTCCATGAACCAGCAGCATGAGTCTTGCCTGGGGGCTTATTAGAAATGCAGAGTCGCATGCCCCATTCTAAATCCGCTGACTGAAAATCTGCATTTAACACGCCCCCAGGTGGCTCAAGTGTACATTAATGCTTGAGAAGCATTACCGACAGAGAACCCTTAACATGCTTGAGAGATTTACTTAGAATAACTACTAATTTACTAAGATTTACTAAGGACTAATAAACAAGGTATGTTCTCAGGCTCCAAGCTACATAATACGGTGGTCATTTTCTATAAGGGTTATGTTGGCAACACGGGTTAGGAGAGAAAAGCTGAAGTGATGAACTGCTTTTCTTTACTTTAATAAACAAGGTATGTTCTCAGGCTCCAAGCTACATAATACGGTGGTCATTTTCTATAAGAGTTATGTTGGCAACACGGGTTAGGAGAGAAAAGCTGAAGTGATGAACTGCTTTTCTTTACTTCTAAAAATAACTTTTTAAGCAAGTCTTTAATAATTCTTTCATTTCCTTCACTTCCTTGCATCTCAGGTAACTTAACCACCTAAACATACGCCTTAGGAAAATACTAATATTAATAGGAACAAAAGTTACCATTAATTGAGTGATAACTCTGCCAGACACCATGCCAAGCCCGTTACATACTCAGAACAACCCTCCTGGATAGGTATTATTAACTCCATTTTACAGACAAAGAAACTAAAACTCAGATCAAAAACATGACTTGCTCGACTTTCCATAGCTAATAACTGACTGAATTGTGATTTGAACTAGGTCTTTAGGACCCCAAAGCCTGTTCTTTTTCCCACTTCTACCAGTCTTATTTTCTCTTCCATCTTGGAATTCCTGCCACCCAAAGGGTTGAAAGCTGACCTTTTCACCTCTGACTTGCTGCCCATGGCTGATTCACTTCTAGTTTCTGCAAATTAGAAATGTAGCTTTTGTAATTAATAATTGCTAATATGCATATTGCACGTTACAAAACATTTCTATCTACCTTCTCTTATCTGGTCCTTAAAACAACTCTGCTGTTACAAGTGACAACCCTAAGACCTAAGAAAGATTACTTGGCCTGCCTAACATCATCTAGAATATTCCAAGGCCCAGATTCAGATCCAGGTTATGCGACTTCAAAGCTCTTTGTCCATATGGAATTTTATCTCTGTATTTCTTATGAGTTGCAGGTCTGTAGAAGTGGGGAAAAGGAAAATGTCTTTCCAACTAGCATGCTAACTTTACAAAAGGGAATAGTATTTCTCCCCACTGGACTGTGAATTTCTTGAGGGCAGAAAATGAATCTTATTTACTTTGTATCCTCAGGAGAAGCACAGTGGCCGCCATGGCTAGGGGATGAATAAACATTTATTGAACAAATGATTTTAAATGGCTAACTTCTATATATTTCTGTGTTTGAGTGAGGTGAATGATTAGTGTTGTTCTATTGACCACAACAAGTGTTAGAACAGTTCAAAATTCAAAGGTGTCCTCAGGAACAATAAGCGCAGAATGCAGAAGCTTCTACAATGAATGCAGAAGACCAAACCGAAACTTCAGGCACCGTAGCTAGACAGTCCCCAGCCTTGACCCCACTCCCTTTGGTTCTCCTAAACTGCTGATGGGTTAATAATCCATGCTTCTCATGCTTATGTGTAAAGGGAGACTAAAGCCTAGGTAAACACCGAGGAGGTTCAAGGAAAAGCCACCTACCACTATTTTTAGACAGACAAAAAAACTTTAGAACTGCCTTTCATACATGTGTAAGCTAAAAAAGAGAAAAAGTCTTCAGTGAAAGAAGTCTTAAGTATGTGCTCAAAAAACAAAGCTTTTCTGAAAATTTTATCCCAGAAAACAGAGAAAGAAATTAAACCACAAACTCTTTACACTCTAAAGGGAATTAAAGAGAACATGAACTCTATAAGAAATTTTA